GAGAGAGAGAGAGAGAGAGAGAGAGAGAGAGAAAGAGAGAGAGAGAGAGAGAGAGAGAGAAAGAGAGAAAAAAACGAGCAATAATATCAGAACAAGTGTGTATTGTCCACTGCTGAACAGAAGGAGCCTACAGAGTTTGTTCTAGTAAGAGTTTTACGGCACTTGCAACACAATAAGGTCATATAAGTGCCAGAGATTAGAGGTGCTACAAGAGAGTAACAAACACAAAGGAGCCTACAGAGTGAATGGGGAGTAACAAAAGAGGGAAAGGTGTGGAACAAACTTTGCAAATCATGAGAAATGAGACATATTCTATATGAAAGTACAAGAGATAATATAATTTTACGGTGGGCTCTGGTCATACGTTATATATCTTAATTTTGAGCAGGGAAGGTAGGTGTGAGGAGACAGAGGATGGACAACAGGGAGGCAGGGGCTGGAGGGAGGGTAGGTGGAACAGGGGAGGGGGGGGGGGAAACAGCTGGGGACAGCTGGGGGCAGATGGGATTAGGGGGGCGGGGAAGGAGGGCAGAGCATTCACATGAAATATTTTTAATGTAATGGATTCAACTGAGGATTAAAAATGATAATTTTGTTCTCTGCGTGTCCAACATAACAAAAACAACAAGTCCCCTTTGGGCTCCTTATGAACTGTGTGAACACTGTTGTTGGGAAAACATAAGATTATCAAAACAATGAAAGTTATAATATTATCAAGAAAGTTATCTTAGATTTCATAAAGTGAAATAAAAGAATTCCACACCAAGAAGCTCGACTATTTCAGTGCACAAAGGTCCTAAACAATAGTAGAGATTCTGAAAACAAATACATTTCAGTGCTAGAAACCATTGTACAATGGATAAGTTTGCAAGATTTTAAATTCTATAATTACAATTTGAATGAGCACAGAATGTCAAAACAAAAACTTTGAAACTTTTTAACTTATCGATAAACCACAATGTCATCCAGATGAAACATAGGTACATCCTAGCTCTCTACACCCAAAACCTCAGAAATGGGAGGTTACATAAGATACATATATATACTTTGAAAATTCACAGATGGATTTTTTTGGTATAAATTTCTTGTGGGACAATGACAATTATTACCAGAAAAATAACAGCAAACTTACGTTAGACTTCATAGAAAGAGAGAGATGAGTGTAAAAGTGATTCAAAAAAGAATCTTACATACAGCTCATAAACATTTTTCCCCTTCTACTTAAAAACTTTAAAGTACAATAGTAGAGAAAATATAGGAAGAGATATATATGTGGTGAGCTCACACATTAGATTTTAGACAAGTACTCCGAGTAAAATAGGCAGTGTGAGTTACAATTTTTATCAAACAAAACATTGTGATCTTGCTCTCAGAGGCTCAACAAGAATTTGTACAAAAGGTGTCGTTAGTTTTTCGGCAGCCCCCAATGCCAAGGCCCACCTGGATGCTCACACAGACGCTACAACACAACATCTTCCTGCGGCCCCTTCTAGGTTTGTTCGGTTTTTGTTTTTGTCAGAGTAAAGAGAGGCACATTGACGTAATAACTGGTCCATTAATGCTGGAGAGAAAGTACGTTAGGATTAGAGTGAAAAGAAGCACATTCAACACAACAATGGTTATTATGTAAGACAGCCCGAAAGACACAACAGAGGGACAGAAAAGAAGTAGGACCTATCAGCACCACCCTCCAACCACCCACAAAAAAGTAAGAAAATAAGAAAGAGAGACAGAAAAAAACAAAGGAAAAGAAAAGAAGTGAGACTTGTATTTACTGTATTTGAAAGTAAAACAGATACAACAAAGGGAAAGAAAAGAAGTGAGACCTGTATTTACTGCATTTATAAGTAGAACAGACAGATACAGCAAAGGGAAAGACAAGAAGTGGGACCAACCAATGTCGCCCTCTATGCTGTTAACCAACCTAACTGAAAGCTTGCACAAAACGATCAATTCAGCTATCAACGGACAACAGTTTTTCTCCTCTCATGCACCGAGCACAACACAAGACTCTCACTGTCGTGTTAGGAAGACCATGCCACACAACAATCTCAACCCTACCATGAAACATTTGTTAAGTTACAACACAGCGACTCCTCGTGCCACACAAACTGAAAACATTACCTTCACACAATAACATAACAAGACCATGCAGTATAGCAAACTGTGTTCAGTAAATAAAAAATATTTGGTACTGAATATCTTTTTAAAAAAACAAAAAAGCTTTCCTGATATTGTACTGATTAAACTATGTCCGTCCCCCCCCCCCCCCACCCCCACCCTCTGCCAAATGCACAAGATCCAGGCTAGTTACCCGGAACAGGAACTATAAGCCGGTTCCTGATATTGTCACTAACCTTAAGAACATCAACTATACCACGATAGCTTTTCCACTGATGGACCAACAATCAAAAATCATTCCGCAACAAAAGAAAACGTGGCTAAAAACAAAATGTAAGTAGAAACACTCCCCAGTCCACAAAGTTGTCCTTATAGCATTAAAAACATCCAACAAACGTACCAGAAACAAAATGTAAGTAGAAACCCTCCCCAGCCCACAAAGTTGTCCTTATAGCATTAAAAACATCCAACAAACGTACCAGAAACCGCTCATGATGCCAAAAACACAACAACAGGTAAATTTCCACCCACTATCCACTCACAGTCAAAGCTTTGGTCACAATATTATGCCAACAGTCTGTTACACTTACTGAACCTATTATTCACGCCAGTAAAACAAAGACAGCTACTCGTCAGCAGAGCACCTTTATATTAACTAACACATATGCAAATGACTAATAAAGACTTAACTACAATGAAGGACCAGTTTTCACGTTGCTTTTTTTAGTTTTAATCTAGTTAGAGTTTTACGGTCACGCTGCTTTAATCTGGTAAATTAAAGTTTCTTAATCAATGCTCAGTGCACAGAGCCATCTAAACAAGACATGGTGTCAGATGTGAAGACAGCGTGGGGTTATTGTTAGCATCTCAGTCAGAAGCGCCACTCGGACAACAAACAGACAGACAACAGACAGACAGACAGACAGACAGACAGACAACAGACACAGACAACAGACAGACAGACAACAGACAGACAGACAACAGACAGACAACAGACAGACCCATGCCGCACAATGTCCAGGCCATTCAGACACACTCAGCACCTCACATTAACCCTTTCGATGCCAAATCTTCTTTAGTAATAACAATAATGATAATAAGAAAAATAATGATGATGATGATGATGATAATAACAATAATAATAATAATAACAACAATAATAATGATAATAATAATAATGATAATAATAATAATAATAATAATAATAATAATAATAATAATAATAATAACAAAATTATAATAATTATTATAATAATAATAGTAAAAGTTTGTCATCATGAACTGCTGATGACCTTAAAAATCCAAGAAGGAAGAGAAAGTTATAGAACTTGCTATCTGAATATCTAGCTTGGTAAAGAGAAAAGAAAAAGACATAATTGGAAAGCAGCTTGTAATGATCATGAACCTGCTCTACAATCCTTCTAAACAACCCAAGAAAGTGTCGTGCCTTGCAGTGAAGGGGTTTTATAACCCCACCATACCCGTTTAGTAGAGGGTTTTACGGCGCTCGCAACTGCATAAGGTCATATGAGTGCCAAAAGATTAGAGGTGTTACAAGGGAGTAACAAACATAAAAAAGAGGAAGGGGAGAAAAGGATGATAGATGTTTGATAGGAAAGAAGAAGCCATACCCGTGGGCACATTCATCACACACAGAGCGCCAAAGTAGGAGACAAATGTTGTGTCATTTGTTTGTTTGTTGGAGTAAAGAGAAGCACATCGACACAATAACGGTCATTTAGTGCAAGTAAAAAGTAAGACAGACAATAATGGTCATTTAGTGCAGGTAAAAAGTAAGACAGACAGACAGACAGACAGACAGACAGACAGACAGACAGACAGACAGACAGACAGACAGACAGACGGACGGAAACAATAGAAGGAAAGTGAAGAAGTAGCCCCTACCAGCAGCACCCTCCAACCACCCACTCATTATGTCATATATTATATTTGAGTTTCATAGACAGATACAGAACAGAGCTGAGAATACTTTGTTGAGCGTACTTGAGCAGAAAAAATTCACACAAGGGAAGCGGTTTCCTTGCACAAAATAAAACCATTCTTTCAAAATATAATTTTCGTTTATGAAGATAACACAAAATATAATAATGATAGATAGCATTTGTACAGCGCATATTCCCACTCAACAGCAAGCTCTGTGCGCTTAAATATAAGCTATAATATTTTTATCCCCGGAGACCTGATAGCATTCTGAAACAATCTCAACTTCCTAGGAAGCATACAGTGCAAGCTTTTATAGGCCCTAAAACACTAACATACTGACAAGATATTTGGCTGTCTATGGCTGGGTACCCATTCCTACCTGGGTGAAGTGAGGAAAATTTGTATTAAGTGTAAAGTGCTTTACCAAGGACACAACATCGGGCCTGAGGCTCGAACCCCCGAACCCCCAACACTACTTCTGCTGCTGTTTTAATCATTCTTGCAGCTGTGGCAGCATTAATATTAAGATTAGAGAACATTTTATTGTATCATTTGTCCTGTTTTGTTGCACATGTCAAGTGAAAGATATGAAGTGTCGAGATAAAAAAGGATGCAACGAAAATGCATGCTCACGACACATGTTTACAAAGGTGTTCAGAAATTTGTCTTTTTGGAGTGAAATATGTGTCTGCTGATCTGATTCAAAAATGTTTCGTGACGTCAAAATTTGTGTTAAATGTAGGGGTGCATCATAGATAGCCTTGTTGAAAGCTAGTGTGCGCGTAAATTTTGAATTAAAAAGTGTGTGTGAGTGTTTGTGAGTGTGAGCTTGTAAGTGTAAGCGTGTATGTGTGTAAATTTGAAAGTGTGTGCGTGTGTTTTTGAGTGTCTGCAAGTGCATGTTGATGTGTGCTTGTAAGTGTAAGCGCGCGTGTGTGTGTGTCTGTATTTTATGCACAAGCGTGTGTGTGCGTGTTTCAAGTACACTGACGTTCATCCATCTTTCACTGCAGCAACAATGTAGGAAACCACACTGCAGGCCGTACTAAAGTGCCGTAGGGGGAAAACTGCTGAGGTTGTTGTAATTGTCAGAAAGCGGAGTACAATGCACACACACAACACTCGGAGAGATAGAGAGATGGATGGTACGGAGGAGAGGATGTGGCAATCCACACAGCACAGGGGTTATGATGAGGAGAACACAGGTAGGTCATGAACAATAGTGAGCGAGCATCATGAAAAAACAGAAGTTGTCGTAGCGTCATTACCAGTTCCAACTCTCGCAGCTGAGGAGAAAACGTCAGACATTTTCACACACTGTGGCAAGAACAATGCTTATTTCTATAAGTCTATACTCCCACAATAAATTTAGCTACGGTCAAACCTGCTCTGTCCACTTGTCTAAAACATTTACTTGTACAAAAAATAATGATCATTTCCAATTCCATGGTATGTTGCTTATTTAAAGAATGACAGACATTTTTGAAAAACTGCAGTCAACATCAACTTTTCCTTTGAATTGACATTCTGATATAAGAAGAACTTTATGATTTACCCAAAGTAGGGTGCTGATGAGGAGAGAACATTATAACCTTTAAGTCTATAGTTAGATATTAAAGGAGCTTTGTGGTTAATTTTAGCTAAGTGGTCGATGCAGAAAACATCAAACGTTTTCAAACTCGAGGCTGAACAACTTTTCTGGTGACAAAGTCAAAGCTTATGAAGTACCTGAGAGCAACTACTACTTCCTTTGAATAAAAAAAAGAAATTACTACACATCTAAAAATTAGCTGCTTTAAAAGAGAGAAAAACAAAATAAAAAGTGCACACCCACAATATTTTGGTTTTTCACCACAAACTCATTTGAACAGTTTTCCTGAGAACATTTTTCATCAAACCCTCAGAATCACTACACAGTCCTGTGGGGAGCATCAAACATTATCACCCTAACCAACAAATGACCTTAGAAGTTAAATTAACAGCCAACAGGTAAAAATAAATTTAAGGATCTATGTCCACTTCAGAAATGCACAAAATAAGCACAAATATGAAGGGAAATCAGTAAGAATAATTCACAAGATGACATCAACAAAGCTAATCCAAGACTGCCAAGATAATTTTAGCGATGTCATCCACGATGAGAATCCAAGAAGTGAAAGCAAAAATGTGATCAGCGGGACTAGATCTACTTGGCAACGGAGAACAGACAAAAACGTCCTCTACTCTTCACACTTTCAAGGAATTACACAGGACAACAATCAACAGACAATACCCTAGATTGCAGGAGAGAACAAACGTCAAAAGATTGTTCGTTTGTTTGCTTTAGTAGAGGTTTTACGGACTGTCAAAAGACCTCCACCTTGTTAACATGGCCCTGGTCCAAAGGGCACCTGCTTAGAGGGTACTGAATTAACAACAACAACACACAACACAACGACAAAACAACCAAATTCAACAACAACAACAGCAACAACAACAACAACAACACGACAAAATGACCAACTTCAACAACACCACCAACAACAACAACAACAACAACAACAACACGACAAAACGACCAACTTCAACAACAGCACCAACAACAACAACAACAACACCATGACAAAACGACCCACTTCAACAACAACAACAACAACAACAACACGACAAAACGACCGACTTCAACAAAGCCTCCTCAGTGAGAACACAAAGCCTGACACAAACCACTCCAATAAAAATTCACATTAAACAGCCTCATGAAAAACAAACACCAAAATAAAACACCAAAGACATAAAACCAACTATTTCAGAAAACAAAACTTTACTAGAGCAACCAAAACAGACACCACAAGTAGAAAAAGCAGTGCTTGTCAACCTTTTTTAAGTCACTGCCCATTTTTGCCACCTTTAAGAGGCTAAAGTTCTTGTACCATCCACCGACATGTATTTCCAAGAGGGGTATTAAAAAATGCTTGTTACTACTCCAGTGATCCCCACCACCCACCAAAATTACCATATCACCCACTTGTGAATGACACAACCCAGGTTGGCAAGCACTAAGATAGAATGATAAAATGTTTCATAATTAAAAGTTTTGCCATACATTTTTCAGTTCAACATTACCACAACCTATTTCCCATTGGTTCTGTTTTAGCTACTTTCCATTTAATTTTTCAACCATTTATGGATCAGCGTCTTATCTAATAGTAATCTAACCCCTGACAATGTCCTCACTCCAAACTCTAACAGTATTTCAACTTTAAATTTAAGAAAATAATCTGTTACTTTCTTAATATTTTAGGGCAGGGGCGTCCAACATTTTCCATCAGCAGGCCACTTTCAAACATTAAAACAAAATAAGGGCCAGTCAGAGTAAAAGTAAAGTGTATAATCTAATCATAATCTAATGGCAACTAGGGAACTGAGTTATAAATATAAAAAACGTTTAGTGCAGGCCACACAGACTGGCCAGTCAGGCTGGGTTGTGGCCCGTGTGCCATCTGTTGCACACCCCTGTTCTAGGACTTTGTCTGTATAAACACATACGAAAATAAACAAATAAAAAAACAACTAAAAAAAACAAAAACATAACCCTTCTGAAAGGTTATTTAGATCATGATCAATTAACGTGACAGACATTCATCACGACAGACAAGAAGTACACTGTCCACATCACACCAACAATTAGTGACCACTACGGTCAGCTTGTATCCACACACACGTCTTACCTCGTCGGGCGTCAGGTGAAGCTCCAGCTCCAGGTCTTCATTCTCCTCTCCGTCACTGCCCAGACCGCCTGGCACACAAAACAACACACAGGACAATCAGAGATTCCACCAAAATGTCACAAGTTTTTTGGCCTCTTTAAAAAAAATTGCCTGCAAGCTGGTCAATTGCACATAGGCCCCAATTTTGTTTTTGTTTTTTTTAATCTATAATTGCAGTGTGATTAATCTGTGAACTAGGTTGCATGTCCTCAAGAAATATTTTGCCAAATTTCAAATTTTAAATGATGAAAAAAAGAAAAGGAAATAAATGATAAAGATACACTTGTTAAAAGAATGAAACAGTTGTTTCTCTCTCCTAAGAAATTTTGCTTTCTGGGTAGAACAGTTGAACAATTTGCCAAAAAAAAGTTTAAAAGAAACATTTACATCAAATGTAAGAAAGGAGACAACAAAAAATTACAAGCAAAATTAGGGAGCTGAGAACATCCCATATTTACAAATCCCGGATATTTACCAAAAACTAAACTGGTTTTAAGAGATTTGACCCGCGAACATGGCTGGCTTTTGGGCAAAATGACAAGCCCCCTAAGCTGTACGACCCAGCACATGATAGATGCTGGTCTTCAAGTGTTTTTGCGTTTGTAAGAGTTTTACGGCACTTGCTACACAATAAGGTAATACAAGTGCTGAAGATTATAGGTGTTACAAGAGAGTAACAAATGCAAAAAAGGAGGGGAGATTAAGAGGATAGTCATTTGTTTGGAAAGAAGAAGCACACCAGAGCACCCGCCAACCACCCACAACCCAAAAAGAAGGAGAGATCAAAACAACATATGTTTAATCGAAAAAAAGGAGCAAACCACACCAGAGCACCTACCAACCGACCGACTCTTCCAGTGTGATACAACTGAGTAGAGGAGGAAGAGGAGAAGAAGAAGAATGTACACATTTAGCTGGCTCACTTTATGACCAAACACCAAAAGCTCCAGAACTCACCTTCTTCCCCGGACCCTTTGTCTTTGTTCATGCCGGGTAGGCTGGACAACTTGGGCGTGACCAGCGACAGTTTCTTCAGCTGAGGCTGCTCCCCGGGTTTGCCCGGGCTCTGAACCGCAGACTGGAAGTCTGACGGGAGAAGGAGAAAACTACTCAAATCTCTTTCTTTTTATCTCTCACTCACTCACTCTCTCATTCGTTCTTTCTCTCTAAATCTCTCTCCTCTCATCTCTACCTCTCTTTCAGACTCTTTCTTTCAATCTCTATCTCTCTCAATCTCTCTCTCTCTCAATCTCTCTCTCTCAAAATCTCTCTCTCTCAATCTCTCTTTAAATCTCTCTTTCCATCTCTGCTTCTCTCTCAATCCCTCTCCTCTCATCTCTCTTTCTCAATCTCTCTCTCTCAAAATCTCTCTGTTTGCCTCTCTTTCTTTATCTCTCTCTTTCTCACTCACATCTCTCTCCCCCCCTCCTCTAACCCCTTCTTGACCCTAAGCCTTTCCAAAAAAAAAGAAAAGAAAAACTACAAGTGTCCGTTCAGTAATTCTGACCATCCATTAAGACAAAAGAGCTGAGGCTAAAAGACTACATTGCACATACAAAGATCATTCTAATACACACTGGAGTCCACTTAAACTGAAGACAATTAATTAATCAGAAAACGGTAATAAATTTATAGGAAATAAAATCCCCAATTGCTTATTTCTTATGTCTGAGCAGCCTCTCTAAATCGAAAGTCCAGCTTAACCGAAAAAAATCTGGCGGCCCCACAGATTTCAGTTTAACCCCTAAATCTAGACTAGCGCTACTCTATGTCCCTAAGGATCCAAAACTGTGCCTGGTGCAGCACGAACTGACCCGGTGTCTTGAAGAGGTTAAGCAAACTCCACTGTTTATCAGCAAGAAATCTACAAAAATCAATTCACAGCCCACCGGTTCACCCAGTAGGAGAAAACATTACAAAGCTATAATTTGCTAAAGCATGATGTACCTGATTAGTAGCAACTGCTTGCAAAAATGTGGATATTTAAACTTCCAAAAACATGAGAATTCATTTTGGAGATGCGCTGCTTAAATAATAAATGCCTCCTGTCAAGATCAGCCCCACAGGAGCGCTAGCACATTTTGTCAAAGGGAATGTTTAAGAAAAGGAAATGCTCTATTGAGTCCGAACAGTCACAATAGAGCCACATTTTCTACCCTGCTCCTAAAGACAATGTTGTCACATTAACAGGGTCAGTGCTAGCACAATATGTCGAAGGGAATAAATAAGTAAAATAAATGTTCTGTTGAATCTGAACCGTCTATAGATCTCGAGCTCCATTTTTTACTCTGCTCCTAGTGACTGTGTTGTCATATAAACAGGGTCGGCACTAGGACATTATGTCATTGGGAATTTTAAAAAGTAATGGAAATGCTCTATGGAGTCGGAACAGTCACAATAGAGCCACATTTTCTACCCTGCTCCTAGCTACTGAGTTGTCACAAAGGCACAGGATGTGGGAACTAGCGAGTAACATCAATAAAAGTATCACATAGGCACACAGGAAGAAAGCAAAAATGGGGTCATGGGTCAGGGGTCATGGGGTATGGGGTCAGGGGTAGCACAGTATGTCAAAGGGGAAGGTCAGTCCGCACTTACAACACATACAACACACGCACACACAGACAGCTCTGTGGCACAAAATTGGGAAGGTTTCTACTGACAAAGATGCGAACAACTAAAAAAAAACCCAAGTAAACACTCCCTCCATCCAACTCAACCCCCCTCCCTCCCTCCCTCCCTCCCTCTCCCTCTCCCTCTCCCTCCCTCTCCCTCTCCCTCCCTCCCTCCCTCCCTCCCTCCCTCTCTCTCTCTCTCTCTCTCTCTCTCTCTCTCTCTCTCTCTCTCTCTCTCTCTCTCTCTCTCTCTCTCCCTCACCACCTCCCCCCCCCCTCCCACAATACACACATTAGTTAGGAATAAAAGGGTACAGAATTAGATACATATCAGCATACCTACCAGTCAAGTCATTAATAACCAATAGGAAATGCATATACATTAGGTGGCAATCATACTAATAAAACCTGGTACATACAATTATGTGAGGCAGCGTGGTCAAATCAGGTGCTCGTCAAAATAATCAAAGAGAAGACACTGGCATTTTTTTGCATGTTTATTTATTTTTATCGAATTTTCGTTTTCAGGCTCAACACCTTTCATGCCCATTAAAGAACTAATTTTTGTGTGGATTTTTCTGAAAAACGTTGATTAAAGGCACACAAAAATGTAAATTTTCAGTTACCACGGACTCTTAAACTAAGGAAATAACTAATCTTTGGCGGCCATTTTCTCACTATTTTTATCTCTGAAAATAGGTGACCCCCACCTCCTTCAATTGCAAATATCCCGTCTTCTATTCAAAGAAAGATGGGAAATTTTTAACCACAACCAAGACAAATGAACAAGCTTTTTAAATAATGGTACCAATAACTCAATATACCCAAAATTTGACGAGCGCCTGATTCCACCACGTCGTAACACATATGAATAAAACCTGGTTCATAAAAGAATATTATAACACTTCACATAAACCAACGCAATTAGTAGCCACAAATCATGCTCTCAGCTCGCAAAGACAGGATTAGAAATATGAAAGCCAGGCAACAGGTCAAAGTTTCACATTCAGTTCCTCATTAGTCTCCATGCAAGAAAATACACCTTCAACAAGAATGGAAATCCCAGACCAGATATTTCACCATCGGTCTCCAGAAAAAGTATTTTCAGAAAAAAAAAGACATCAAACAAAAAATCTTTTCTCAGAAAAAAAAAATTACATTTAAATTTTAAAACTCTTTAAAAATACACCATTCACCCACAAAAATCGAAAACAAGATGACATTTTTTTCTTCCTAAGTTTCTTCCTCACCTAATCATTTTTATTCTACGCCTTCTAAATCATTGGTCCCTAATATCACTGTTTTTACATCAACTTTTCATAAAAACCAATACACTATGATGCTATGACTGCACAAGAACACAAGCACTAAGTATGTGACCCTCACATGTTGAGAATGCATCTAAAGCTAAAACCCTTTACTCTTAAGTCTGACAATGGCCAATGCATCGCAAGAGGAGAATATAACTTAAAAATTAAGCGAAATAGAAGAAACAATGATTATGATAACCTGTGGTTTCTGTTATGGCTGATGAGACCAGTTCTGGTCAAAAAGAGTTTGCCACATTTTTCAGCATTTAAAAGCTTCATTTCCACCCGTTGCACCACAATTCCTTGAAGTTGAAGAACTAAAAACCACAACAGCAATAAATCAGTGGTCGGTTTGCATAGAGTAATTCTATTGACACAGAAAAGTCCAACAGTAACAAGCAGAAGATAGGACGACTTCAGAACTCTGACCACTAGACGGCCATTTTAAAACGGGTACCCATTGGGGGTTGGTTTCGGTCGGGGCGGTACGCTAGCCAGATTGAGGGCGTAAAGCGGCTCTCGTGGCACAAGACAATATCGCCCGACTCGTCGCCCCAAAAAGAAACGTTGAAGCGCTTTCGTTTTCAAGCGATGAGTCGGGCGATCGGCCCCGACCCGACCCGAGCCGACCCCATCAGCAATGGGCACCCAGTATAACCTTGGAAACTTCACCAAAACAAAAATATATATCATAGGACAGCAACTCAACAGATACCTCGTACAACAACAAGCAAAAGTATGAACAGTTCCAAGATAACCAAGCCAGGAGCGGTTAGTAAACTAAAAATCAAACTGGACATAAAGTTGGGTCACTTTTAGGTAGAATAAGGCCATCTCAAAGGAAGAAAAGCGGTAGCAAGGAAGATGATAGAGAGAAGATAAGAAAGAGAGGGAGGGAGAGAGAGTATGGTAGAAGAGAAGAAAAGAAAAAGAGAAAAAAGAAAAGAATAAAGGAAAAGAGGAAGAGAGAATGAAAGAATTTGAAACATGACGTGATAGAGAGAGACGAGGGAGGGAGGGAGAGGGAGAGGGAGAGGGAGAGGGAGAGGGAGAGAGAGAGAGAGAGAGAGAGAGAGAGAGAGAGAGAGAGACAGAGAGAGAGAGAGAGAGAGAGAAAGAGATAAAATAGTAGGCAAGACAGAGAGACAGTGACAAAAGAAATCCATCCTGAAGGTACATTCACAGATTCACCAGCCAAAAAAACAAAAGTCCCTGTGAAAAAAGTGAACACTTTGCTCGTTTTCATATTGAACTACCTAGGTCAGAAGCCTCCTCAAAAAGCAAAGCCAAATTCACCTCCTCTCCTCCACCACCAAAGCACTAAGCCTGAAAGCTTTTGTTTGTTTGTCTGTCTGTTTGTTTGTCTGCGTAAGGAAAAGCATTTTGATATAATAACAGTAGCAGTCATTTAGTCTTAGGAAAAAGCAAGACAGACAGGTACCACAGAGGATACGAAAAGAAGTAGGACCTACCAGTGGCGTCCTCCAACCACCCACAATTCTAACAGCATCTCCATGAGGAAAAACACATGTTTCTCTACACGTCACCAGATACGCTTTTTATGTTTTTGTTAATTGTAAGTTCTTGCACCCCTCTCAAAACAATTTAGTTCATTTAAGAGGCAGTCTTCAACCCACTAATTACTTGGAAAATGAAGGAAATATGATGCTGAACTGTTTACATTTCCTACATTGTCGGAAACCCCTATTTCAAATTCATATTTTACACAAAACCCAATTTGGGAAACTTGTATTCATATACATTTCCTTCACACAACCCACTGTTAGAAACTCAAACTCCCAGAAAAAGACAACAGCCCTTCATAAGCTGCCACATCCTCGTACAATCTTCTGTTCCTTCCCTCACAAATAAATTGCTTGACATACAGTACGCAGTTTTGTTCTTCTAACACGATACAATGCAACTTGTCTCAGTAAGCACTTAGTCCAGATTTCATATACAATTTTTGTAATAACATTAATTTGACATAGAGAAAAGGATAATGATATGATGTTTTTTTAATTAATTCCTAGACACTAAAACTTAAAAAAATAAAACAAAAGCTGAAGCAAAACAGAAATAAATTGGTGCACTGGGAAGTCTTAAGACTCTTGATATTCTGGGCCATCCAAAAATCAGGAAGATCTGCATAAGAATCAAAATATTGTGTTGTTCACTTTTCAAGCCTCCTCACTCTCCCACAAATAAAACGGTGGGTACAAATCATTGTACACAAACCACACAAAAAAAGAGTTCTCAACCAATCTTTCTTTCTGTATTTTTGAGTGTCGGATGTGGAAATCTGAATGTCACTGAGCATAAAACTGTAACAAACTAAAAGTATTTTAAAATGGAAAAACATTTTGTAAATGAGGCTCGAATTTTACAAAACCTGTGATCCCAAAAATTTTTTTTTTTTTTTTTTAAATTTACAAATGAAAATAAACCACTTCCTCCAAAGATCTTCATTTTCCACAAAATCTACACAAGGTCAAGGTCGCACAATGAAATATCCAGCAGTAAGGCAGCAGACACAGACAAAAGGGGGAGGCAATCAGGGGCAAAGGGGTTGGTGGTTAAGCACGGAACAAACAAACAAAAAATAAATAAATAAAGCAAAAGGCAGTGAGTATTATAGAGAGTGCAGCCAATGATCACAAGTGGAATTTCCAACAACAACCAAAAAAAAGCAATAAAAAAGCACATACCTCTTATACTTCTCAACTTTTGGCCAATCCTCAAAGTTTTCAGTGAAACTGCCATGCCACAAACAACAGTGTCAAAGAGCAGAACATTGAGTCAGTGACTAGGGTTAAGTGCTCGCAGCCCAGGTGTTCCAAACAACAGCATAACAAGTCTCTTTTATATCAAAACACGCTAAGATAAAGCCACAACAAGCATTCTACACCACAAAATGCCACCACAGCACTTTACAAATAAATACTGAACAACGTCGATGAACTGAAAAACAACATTCAACGCTGGAGGTAATCATAGCTATAAAAATAGCTTTAAAAAAACAAATTAATTGACATTTTACGGGAGATGCGCTTATTCTCTTCCAGGAAAATGCTTATTAAAAGCGTGATGCTAAAAAAACAAAAAGCAAAACCGCAAACATTTACATGGTGTGTGATTCAAGGAAGTTTAATGCTCAATAGCTTGCAAAAGAAAAGACAGTGGGGGGTAATTGAAGAGCAGAAAGAGCAAAGAGACGACAAATTTTTTTAAAGTATCTACTTCATCAAACATATGATAAACACTCATCTTTACAACTTCATTGTTTCACTGAGAAAATTGTTGGAATGTAGAGTAGGGAACTTGTTTTCACTTCCTGCAAATCAACATTGCACTAAAGACCTTCTCAATGAAATCGCTTATGAAAAGAATTATTTAGTTCAATCAACAAAATGTTACCACATACTTTCTTGTAGAAATTATCCTCATACTCATTAATACCACAAAAGCACAATGAAATTATGACAATATCTATATCCATCCAAAAAAAAATAATAAAACCACACAGATATAAAGCAATTCTAAGAATAAAGCAAAAAAACAGCAAGCGTGAGGACCAAAAAAGTCACGCCACTCAAAAACACAAAAACACTCTTTCAAAAAACAAAATCACCACACGGGGTGACGGCACGACAAAACAGCCACTGATTGAGCCTGGTTGTCTCAACACCCGTGAGTTAACGCCACGCCCACACACCACTGACCTGCAGGTTTGGTGGTCGAGCCTCCGCTGATCTGCCGCACCACCGGATGTTCGGGCAGCTTTTCGTTAGCTCGAGTTTCGGCAATCAATTTCTTCGCTTGTTCTCGGAGGCGTTTTTGCTTCTCATTCTCCTGAGAAATAAACAGAACTTACAATAGTAGAACCTGCAATATCTTTTCAAATGTAGACATTAAAGATAGCAAACTAGTTTTTACAAAATCCGATATAAGTTTATCAACTCTCAGAATCTGAGGCAGCCCATCTTTTTAACATGTCATGTATTCCAAAAGTTTTTAACACCATGCTACCAAAACATTTTGCACTTTCGAGACAGACTGGCACGGAAACCTTGGATCCATTGGAACACTGGATAAAACAAAAAGATGGTAAACACAAGCACAGACACTCAAAAAATAGAGATAAAAATCCTGCATTTAAATAGAGTCAAAATTGTCCAAGACTTAGGTGGATGTCCTGAACAGTGTCATTATATGGTAAAAATGCAATGGGGGGGGAAGTGAGGAGTGGCCATTTGTAATGGCAACTGTCTTGGTCAGATGGTCATTAGAGCAGGCTGCTTTTGGGCAGAAAAATGCCATCTCAGGGGAACAAAAGAAGAAAGACAGGAAGATAAAAGACAGAAGGAGAAGATGGGAGGGACAGAAAAATGAAATAATAAATAAAATCACAGGAGTGGAAAAAAGATCCCCGAGTTCCCAGCAACACTCACAGGCAGCTCTTCCTGGCCGCCGTCTGCCACTTCCTTCTTGGCCTTCTCCAACAACTTCCTGGCCCGTTCCTTCAGCTCGCTGTGCGTCGTCTGTGGGGGGGGGGGGGGGGGGGGGGAGAGAGACGAGCTCTTTGCCAGTTTGGGTTACAGTAAAGAGATGCACACCAACACAATAATTGTCCCTTAGTGCAGGACAAAGTTGAGACAGACAGACTGAGACAACAGAGGGGAAAAAAAGAAGCAGCACAGAACAGAAAGAAAGCTTACTAAACTGCTAATTACAAATTTAGTTAATCATGATAAATGCCTAGATCACATCTTTTGCCCTCTAATGAGAAAAGGAATCTTCCTTGGCACTAACCGAGAAACATTCAGCAATTTTCTGTAATCACTGTGGTCTGCCGCCCTCATACTACTTTAGTTACAGACTTACAAAAAAAGTAGCACTTGACAAGACTAAGTTCAAACAAAAGATTGTACTGACTTGAGAACAGAGTCAACAGCTCTAAAGAGAAAGCTAAGAGGAAAATGTTTGAGAACAAAGACACACATCGCCACGGCAACGATTATTTTAATACTGGGAAAGGATAAGACTGACAAAAACAAGAGGCAGAAAGAAAGGAAGCAGCCTCCTAGAGGTGTCTCCCAACAACCCACATTAGAGGGAGACAAGAAAAGAAAATTTACAATTACATTTTCCTGTCTTTTGCTTTGTCACTTAATATTGAGTGATGATTCTGCATTGTACAGTGTTTTAGTAAGAGTTTTACAGAACTTGCAAGAAAACATGGTCGTATAAGTGCCGAAGATTAGAAGTGTTATAAGAGAGTAACAAACACAAACAATGAGGGGAGATAAGGACAATAGATGTTCAATAGGAGCGAGCCAAAATCAGAGCACCCACCCACCACCCACATACAGTGTTTAGAGCCTTCTAGGGATAAGGCGCTATAAAAATTCCCATTATCATAATTATTATTATTATTATTAGAACAGGACAAAAAAAAGAAGGTTGTGCAAAGATTCGGTACCTCTTGAGACACAGCAGGGGGCGCAGTAGCTGCCGAGGGTACCTGGGGACAAGTGGGCAAAGCATAGACGAGACTCAATAGAGGTATTGCGGATATTGTCTGCCAGCTGTTCTGATGTACTAAGCCCAAAATTTTGAAATCTTTAAAATTGCAGGCCAGTCAAGGGAGTTGTTTTAAGCTGACTAAGCCTTCCATCAGAGGGGACATAGAATTAAAAATTATCTCTTGTATCTGGCAACCAAAGTTCAAATAGCAGCTTGCAGCATCATTTAAGCAAGAGATTTGTTCTTCATATGAGATAATGAAGACTGAAGGCTCATTGTAGTAGCACTTATAAATCAATTCCATAAAATACCGGACATCTCAGACAAATGGACTTTTCAACACAAAAGAATAAATCTATACTTTTCTTACCTCGTCTCCCTCCTCTTCATCTGACCCAAACGGATTCAGCGACCGTTTCTCCGATTGTTTGGGCGGGCTGGGAGCGCGTCGTGTCTTCTTCTTCACATAGTGTCCGCCGGCCCCGATAGGAGGCACCGAGGCTCCAGAGCCTGACACGACAGGACCGTTGTTCTCAGAAGTCACCTCCCCTGACTTCCTGCCCGACGCAACCCTAGCGTCGTCGGGCGAGGGCGCCCCCTGCGGTGAAGAGACGTCATCCCCGGAGGCGTTGACCCCTCCACTGGAGGACGGGACGGGCGATTTGGGAACCGACGGCGCTCGCGACTTCTTGCCGGACGTGTTGAGGTCCGGGGCAGGCGGGCTGGTCTGTCGGCTGGAGCTGGGGCTACGGTCCTCCGTGGGGCTGCCGGAGGACGACTTGCGCAGCCTGGAGGAGAGGGACGAGGACGTGGAGGACTTCCTCACCCCATCCTTGTGGCCGTACATCTCCTCCGATATCCTCTGCTCATCCTCCTCATCGTGCTCACCTGAAAAATGTTCCAACACGTGTGAAGACTCCAATAGAAAAACCAGTTAAGTCACAATCTTTTTTAAAAATTTAAATTAGCTTCTTCCCTTGTTGCATTCTTCTTATTTTTTTAACTTTCTTCTCTGCTAATAATCCCAGCATAACCCAGCTAGGTTCTGTACAATGTAAGTTATAAGAAATGCTATAGCGACTTTGATATAGAGAATTTTGAATTCTTTGGATTTCCTTTTTTTTCCTCACTTTTCTAACATGTGACTTATCTGTTTTTTCCAATGGAGTCTTCATGTGTTTATGCATATGAGCCACTCGCCCAGCGAGTACATCCCACTCACCTAGCATATATGTGCCCTTCTACATGCCACTCACTCACCTAGCGTAAATGTACCACTCACCTAGCCTCTATGTGCCCCTGTGTGTGCCACTCACTCACCTAGCGTATATGTACCACTCACCTAGCCTCTATGTGCCCCTGTGTGTGCCACTCACTCACCTAGCCTCTATGTGCCCCTGTGTGTGCCACTCACTCACCTAGCCTCTATGTGCCCCTGTGTGTGCCACTCACTCACCTAGCGTATATGTACCACTCACCTAGCCTCTATGTGCCCCTGTGTGTGCCACTCACTCACCTAGCGTATATGTACCACTCACCTAGCCTCTATGTGCCCCTGTGTGTGCCACTCACTCACCCAGTGTGTACAAACACGCCAGTCACTCATCCAGCATGCACATGCCACTCACTCACCCAGCCCATAAGTGACACTTGTGCCACTCACTCACCCCGCATATACGGGCCACTAAATCATCCAGCATGCACTTGCCACTCACTCACCTAGCGTGTAGTGCCACTCAGCCAGCATGTATGAACCACCACTCACTCACCTAGTGTGTACGTGCTCTCGCTGGCGCTGGGACCAATCTGCTGCACCTCCAGGGTCTGCCCGGTGAAGTAGGAGCGGAGCTGGTGCAGGTAGGTCATCACGCACAGCTTGTCCGGCACCGCCAGCAGGACCATGTCCGACGGCTCAATCACTTTGGGGATGCCCAGTTTGGCTGCTGCGTCAAAGGCCTACAGCACAACATTAAAAATGCTGATTATTCAGAAACGAGTAATTCAAGAGGTAAAAAAGCACAACATACAAACAAAAAAAGCCCAGGGGAATATAAAGCTTAAAACTATGGGCTTGTTCTCTTAGAAAAGGCCAACAGATTGTGTAAAACCTGCGATTAATATGTAAAATATTTTTTTAAGCAAATATGAAAAATATAAAGTAGGGCATATAGAAAAAAAAAAGCAGAGGAAAATACGACTTGAAACAATGATAATAAATAACCAAAGTCACTCCGATGTGCACTGATTTGTTAATTTTTATTTTTGAACATAACTAAAAATAAACAAAATGAACAATGTTGCCTTATCCTTGCAAGACACCTCCACATCAATGGCCGCCATAATCCAACACATGATTCAAGATATTCCATCAAATACTGAACATAAATCAATAATGCACAACAGCAAAGACAAAGTGGAACGTTACTAATTACTAACGTTCCGCTACAAAAAATAGTGCACATCGAGTAACACTAAGCTTTTTTTCTGATCAAACACTAACAGATTCTGTAAAACGTACAATAAACATGAAAACTTTTTCTGAAAACGAGATCTTGTACCAGCTTCTTCTTCCCAAAGTTAAGAAAGACAACTGTAGAACAAAAAGGTACAACAGTTTGACAAAGAATTATAGTAGAGTCTGCTTAAAATTAAATCTGCGGGACCACCAGATTCTCTTTGGTTTAGCTGGCTTTTCCTTGTAGAGAGGTTGCTCAAATAGCAAAGAAAAAATTGGGAATTGTCTTTTCTTTCTATTCGTCGCTGTTTTCAGATAACCCATTTTTGGTTTTGGTGTACTCCACTGTATAAAGAAGTAACGTGTCAGTAAAATCCTAACAAAGAGAAAAAAATACAAACCATTTTATTATTTCCCTTGATATCATGAGGATTGAGCTTCTGGTAATTTCTGAAAGAAAAAAAGAAAAAAATTGCTTAGTCAAAAAATTCAAGAAACATTCACAATGTGTCCTCGACTGTTATACAAAAGACAACACAAAGCTATTTATCTCACTCAGTTAAAGAATTTGCATACGAAATTCGCAATGTAAGTATTTCAAATGAAAGAGTATATATATATATGTATAACAAAAAATCCAGGACGTGAAAATCTGTTTGCTATCTACAGGTTTTTCTTTGTACAGACCTGCCACTCTATGAAATCTAAAAATCAGGATCTCAAAGGGAAAAAAATCTATATCAACAAATATTCACCAGGGTGACTGCCAAGCTGACTTGAAAATTGTCCAGAGGTGTCCATAAATATATGAATGCAGAGTTAGTTTTTTTTAAGAAAAATTCGGCACAACTACTAGGAAAAAAAATCGGGACACACGCAATCTAAATCCTGAGGCTCAAGATTTGGGGGAAAAAAATCGGGACATCCTGATTAAATCGGGATGAGTAGAGGTCTGTATGTGCATGTTTGTCTGTGTGCCTGTTCCCGATGAGTGTGCTCCACTGTATCTCTAGGCACAGCATCTCCGGACACACATGACTTACATCAGATCAGGACGAAAGTGGTGTACGATGGCACAGAAGGCGAGTCCGTTCCGCCAGGAAGTTGTCAGGTTGGTGATCTTGACCCCGCGGTAACCCTTGGACACCTGACGACACCACTCCAGGAGCTCCTCAAACGGATTGTTGGGGGACGGGGACGTGACCTGTGGGGGGTCATCAAATACAGTTGTGGGCACAGAAGAACCACTTTAAAAATGGCTAGCACGTATCGAGAAAAATATAAGACAATGTTAGTACTACTGAGAAAACTAAGTAAATGAAACAAACCCACATCTGAGCACCGCGATGGTATGAAGTTGCTGTTTGCATTAATAAATCTAGGACGATTTTTTTTTTAAAAGAACTGAGTTAGCAAGCTTAATACATCCAGACAGTGAACATGAGTAGGAAAACCTTGTTCGACTGACTTATGTAGGTAGGTGTTTTTAGGCCCCCATTCACACAATTTAGATCATTTAGGAAGCAGGCTTCAACCTTCCCTGTTAGGGCCAATCCATCATGTGAGGAGTACACCCCAGCAGAAAGACCAAGCTACTTGACATAAATTCTCCACTCACGGGAATCAAACTCAGGTCTTCTGCATGTGACAACAAAGCGCCTAACCACCACACCATGGATGCCTGTCTCACATAACTAAAATTGCTCTGTGCTGGTTATGTAGAACATACCTGACTAGAATTTATGGACTTGGAGCCAGGAGTATCAGACACTTGTTCACCGCCTTGAGGCCTGAATGGTAAAAAGAGAAGGAAAAAAAAAAGAACATGTAAAATAAACTATTTTGTTCATTAAAATGTAGCGACCATAAGTCAGCCAGTGAAGATACAATATCTAAAACATTGAAAGGCACAACAGAGGAGAACTGCAGCATTGATGAATGACTTGGCAAAGAGAGTAAGGCAGCAACAAGTGAAAGGCTTAAAAAACACAAGACAAAAATTTAAGAAATGAACATTCAAAAGGATGATACAGAAAAAAACAAATAAATCAAGTGTCTCTCACTCTTCCTCCTCCACAAATAAACAAAGGGTCACTTCCCCATCTCTCCTTCCACTAATAAATAAGCCACTCGCATCTTCTCCATAAATAATAATAAAGGGTCACTCCCCTTTCCTACTCTACAAGTAATAAATAAACGTCTACAACTAACAAATCAAGGGCCACTCCCTTCTCCTCCTCTACAGATAAAAAAATCATGGTACGCTCACTTCTCCTTCTCCTTTACAAAAAAATCAAGGGCCACTCTCTTCTCCTCCTCTACACACAATAAAGGGCCACTCCTTTCTCCTTCTCTTTCTCTACAAATAATAGATAAAGGGCTACTCGCTTGTCCTCCTCTACAAATAAATAAGTGTCACTCCCTTCTCCTCCTCTACAAATAATAAATCAAGGCCCATTTCCTTCTCCTCCTCTACAAATAATAAATCAAGGGCTACTCACTTCTCCTTCTTCATCTTTACAAATAATAGACAAAGGGCCACTCCCTTCTTCTGTACAAATAATAAATCAAAGGCCATCGCTTCTCGGCCTTTTGGCAAGGTCAAAGTGTAGTACCTGTCCCCGACTTTTTCTCCAGCCTTGTGCCCACTGGTAAGCGGGACGGACACTGCTGAGGCTGATGGGGGGGCGGAGAAATCTGTCTCCCAATTATATCTAGTGGATGGATTACTGTCCTCTTTAAAAAAAAAAAATCAAGGGCCACTTCCTTTGCCTTCTCTACACATAACAAATCAAGGGTCGCTTACTTCTCCTTCTCCTCCTCTACACATAATAAAGGACCACTCCCTTCTTCTCCCCTACACATAATAAAGGGTCACTTACTTCTCCTTCTCCTCCTCTACACATAATAAAAAGTCACTCCCTTCTCCTCCTCTACACATAATAAAAAGTCACTCCCTTCTCCTCCTCCACACATAATAAATCAAGGGTCACTTACTTCTCCTTCTCCTTCTCTACACACAATAGATAAAAAGTCACTTACTTCTCCTTCTCCTTCTCTACACACAATAGATAAAAAGTCACTTCTCCTTCTCCTTCTCTACATACAATAAATAAAAAGTCACTTACTTCTCCTTCTCCTTCTCTACAAGTAATAAAGGGTCACTCCCCTCCCCTTCTCTACAACTACAACTAACAAATCAAGGGCCACTCACTTTTCCTTCTCCTGCATGGGAGGAGTGATGGGTCTGATCGACACTTTCTTCTCCTCCTCTGGCGTGGACGGCGGCGTGCCCTCGTAGATCGGCCGCTCCCCGGACGACTGCGACTGCCGCATGGTCAAGGTCAACCTCTTCCCGTCCTTGCCCTGACCTTGGGCCAGAGAGTCTTTGCTCGACATATTCGCCGGCAGCGTGGCAGACTTGCCCATCTTCTTGGATTTCGGCGAAGACGGAGACAACGGAGTTCTTTGAGGCTTCTCCTTGGTAGGGGAGACCCTGGGAGACGAGGAACTACTTTTCCTGGAGGGGGTTGCCGGCTCACTCACAGACTCGTCCGTTTCTTCAAACGGGTTCGCAGCAGACGGGGAATCTCCCTGAGATGATTTGTAAGAGTCAAAGGCAGCTCCTATGTCGTCCTCCTCCTCTTCCTCCTCCTCCTCCTCTTCGAACGGATTCAACCCTCCGTCTCCTGAAGCTACCGGGTCTTCTTTTTTACCATACACATCATCAGCTGAAGAAATAAAAAAAGTAAAAATATTAATCTAAATTTACGCCATTTTACAGAGCAGTAAAAAAACAACAACACTGCAACAAGGAGAAGGTGAAATGCTTGTCTTACGAACAAATCACTTATTATGTCTACAAAATCATCCATTGTAAGGCACAAATTTTGTCAGCTGCTTGCAATCATTGTAATAATTCATGGAAAACATTTTCCTTTACCAACCAAAAAAGTGGCACATATTTCCGTTTCCAGAAAACTGAGACTGAGAAAGGAAACAGCCTGAGGGGAGGTCAGAAAACTATTCAACAACGACTTCAAACTGAATTACATCAATTTTTCTAAAATATATTTCAGGGATGAAATTAAATTGTAACCTGATCAAAGTTATGACAAATAAAATATCTTATAATCACATTCTGGAGATCCAATCACTGCCACCATTGTAGATTCCTATATCAAGAAAAATGAACCAGAAATACTTTGAGCACGCATATCTATCTGTTAACTCGCTGCTTACAATTAAGCAGACGCATGACTGTTTCAGAACTGCTTTTAAAAAGGAGGTCGACGAAAAAGCAGCCTTTAGATTACGGATGGTGCTGAGTCGGTTTCCAACAGAACATAATTTCCCAATTTCGTACTTTAGATACCCACCTAATAATGTCAATCAAACTTCTTCCATAAAGTGTATTTTAGCTCCAAATATTTCAAGGAACTGAACATGTTCAGCAAACATAAATGGCCGTGCCACATGGACAACAATGGGGCAGACAATAAAATTACATTCATGGGGACACACAAGTATTTGCAATTAAAGAAAAAAAGACATGCTAAAGAACTATTTAGATTAACAAACCAATAAGTTCTTGTCTCCTTTACTTTACAACTTACAAGGAAACCCAACTGGTATAGACTTTGAAAGCTACAAATTCGTGCATGCCGTGCTGTCTGCAAAGAAGCTGATTTGCCCCTCTACATCCTTCCTCTCAAATCACATTGTTGCAGCCCTAATTAATCATTTTCAATCAATTCAATAATTTCACTTTTTAAAAAAAGAACTAAGCGGTGCAACATGAGCTTCCCTTATAGCAAAACAAAAGTATACAGGTGACTCACAAAATTGCCACATAGAGAAATCAAGCGTGGAGCTATCAAAACTGCTACACAGAGAAACCAAGCGTGGAGCTATCAAACCTCTGGACGACTACACTGGCTTGGAGGTACTGAGAGCAGAAACCATTCATCGTTTAGTTTGACGACTTAAACGGACGACTGTTTCATTCTTTTAACTTTCATTATTGTGACAATGCTTTATCTTGAATGCGAATACATTTGCATCACATTTTTTTACCCAACAAATTATTTCTTACATTACATTCTCATTTAAATTTCTTTGTAACAGATGACTCTCATAAGTCAACGTTTTAAGATTTTGCTGTCACATGTAATCTAATTCTATTTGACTGTAAAAAGCATGAATACATACGCTTGTAAACACTCACACACGCACATTGTAAGGAACACCAAAATCAAACAACACACTCATGTTATTTTTCTTTAACATTTTGGGTCTTCTTCTATGTACTCATATTTTCTTTCCCTCTTTCATTTCTGGATTACACAAAAAAACAAAAGATTTTCCTTTATCATTTACCCATCAAGAAGCACATTTTTAAGTCCACACGTTTCCCTTAGTCTTCCATACTCCCAAATCAGAACAGAAATTGTGGATGGTTGACAGGTGTTCTGGGGTGGTCTGCTCTTTCTTTCTAAAAAAACATCGATCGTCCTTATATTCTCCACCTTTTTTTTCTGTGCATGTCACTTTTTTAGTAACACTTCTATTAATCTAATCTTTGGCCCTTATGTGACCTATCTGTGTCGCAAGTACTGTAAAATTCTAATTAAAATTTTTAATAAAACTAAACTAAGAACATTTATCAACACACGGTATTGGGAGGTTCCATTGTACAGCGATCATGCGTAGAAAAATATTTGTGAAAATTTTATATGTCGTGGAGTATCTCAAGAAGCGCCTTCACAGCCAAATGAAATTAAAGACGTTCAAGTGAAGAATTAAAATTAAAAGAAAAGAAAAGGGCAAAAACAAAACAGATAACATGCATTACTACCTTTGTGTTCAACACAGTAACTCAAGAAACCTAAATTGTTCTCACAACAAGAATACTGGAAACATCACAAAAAGCATGGCTGCAGATATATGATCATAGCTATTGCTTTCGACATCAACAACAAAATCTAATACATTAAACAACGTATTACCATGTCTCAGCTTTAGATGCATCCTGGAACAAAATAAGTTTCTCCTCCCCAAAATCATTACTATCTTTTTTTTAAACCTTGAGTAGCATCAAAGACTCCATATTTCAGCTTGACATTTTAGCCTCCACATGCAAAATGCAGTGGGTGAAGAGTCATGAGGAAAACAGAAAGAACGCTTTCACTCTTCATACAGACATTACTACATTCCTGCACTGAGGAACAATTTCATGAAAGCCACTCTCACCAGTTGTACCTACATGAGAATTCTATCATTTAAAAAAATGCACTAAGACATTCCTAAGAACAGTGTCTCCATTCATTAAGACCAGTGGCCTTATCTGTGTACTCTCTACCCATCAACACAGCACAAAGTGAACATTTTTCTCTTAACGTACCCTCACGTCTCTAAAAATCTGACTACTGCCATTACATTCATGTTTACCGTTTCCAATATTTCCCTTTACTAAGCTCAATATCAAGGAACAAGCAGGCATTACATGTTGACAACCATTTGCTCTACCCTGTGGCCACAACACAAACAGGATATGAGACTCGTAAAACATGGTGGAGATACAGTGGAGTCCACTTAACCCAAACAAGGTTAATCTGAAAACGGTGGTAAGCTAAAAGACAATACAATCCCCCAATTTGTTTTTAAGTTAAGAAACCTCTCTAAACCGACAGCTAAGCTGGACACAAAAAAATCTGACAGTCTCATGGGTTTCACATTCAGCGGACTCCACTGTTATTGGTGTAGAAGACCTTCAAGCTTGGAAAAAATCTTACTTGGGCATCTTCTGTTCACAGATATACGACCTCATTCGCCAGGTCGTAGGATCTGTCAGAAACTAAAACCTTCGCTTACGTAACAACAATATCAGGCGCGATGAATTATTGCCACCAATGTATTCTTTCCTCTAAATTCCCTATCACTTCCACTACAACTGAAAAGAGAAGCAAACGGGAAGTTGGGAAGTTGGTCTGATAAACACAGTTTTAAAAAAACAACCAAAAGAATGTCCAAGTTTTCTGTCATTCATCTACTCCACAAAGACTTAAGGACTGGTGCTACAGAGATACTTAAATCATATCAATAGATAAAAACTTAACAAAACTCTACATAAACGCAACATAATTATACCACAGAAACAAAACCAGGCTTGCCAACTTTTTCAAAACCCAATCAGGGACACTTAACACCAGATAGCATAACAATGAACAAAACTACGTTAAGTGGGACTGGTTTTCGCGAAGTATTTATGATAAGGCTCTCAAATTCCTTTATCTAATTGTCAAATCGAGGACAGTCCAGGAAAATTTTGGCCAGTTGGCAAGCCTGCAGAACAAAACGAGGAAGTGCAAACTAAATATATAAAAAAAGCCACAATACCAAACGGATTGAAAGCGTCATGCTGGTAACCGTCATCCTCAAAGGGATTACCAAAGTGAGCCTCTAGCTGACTCATCTGTGCCGTGATGTCGCTGATCTGGCTCTTGGTGGACATGCTCGTGTCACCTTTGACCCCCAGCCCGCTCTCGTCCTCCTCCTCCAGGTCCTCCAGGTTACCGATGTCCGTCTTTCCCATACTCATTAAACTTGCCACACTCTGCATGTCTTCGTCTCTGGAAAGTAAAAGGTGCCCCGTTAGCTCAGTTTCTGTTCCGTTGGATTACCATGGCGATAACCCTAGTTTGAATCCCTGATGGGGCCTGCTTGAAATAAGGATAGTTAGGGACTTTCTTCACCCCTTTGATTGATATCGTCTTATCTGTCAGTCACACCTCTGATCCTAGGGTAATTAAGATGTAACACCTAGCCCTCTCGGATAAGAGCAAAACATTTTGGAGGTCCCATGTGGCGTCAGCAGTCTGGTGGTTAGGCTACAGGACTCGTAATGATGGAAAGAATAAATTAGCTATCTATCAAGTTTGCTTGCCAGAATAGCAAATAAAATTAGAGACTTTGTCTTGAGAGGCCAGCGCCTTACCTCTGACAACTATGTTAAAGAGGACTGTATAAACACCAACTTACGTAGCTTTTCCCTCTCGCACAAACACACATGACAGTGTGAGTTGCAGTGTGGCAGAAATTATTTTCTTGCTGGCAGGCTTCAGCTTCAGTTTCAGAGTAGTCTGGGTTGGGAGAGGACTGGCATAATCCTTCATGTTGATCGCCTTGGACGCCAGAATCTTCCGGCTACCTTTGGATTGCTGAGAAATGGAAAAAAAAAAAAAGAAGAATGTGACAACAGTACACATAACCTGAGACAACCCGTAGCCTACTTCACATAAAATGTAAAATATCACTTCATGAATCTGACAATTTTTTTCATTTTACTAAACAACAGACAGTAAAACAAAACAAAATCTGGATAAATTACTTAGATCATTTTTACACCTCAAAAAAATTATTGGGATTTTCTTTATCCCATCTAGAGACAATAAAGCATTATAAAGTAACTTAATTACTAATGTAATTTCACTTGGGAAATACTTAATACTTGAACCTGTTTAGCAGACAATACAAAAGTGTGGTGGTAAAGTCTTGTTCTAACAAAAACAAAAAAGGGTTGAAGCAGGTGCTTCAAAATCACACAAAATGAACTTACTATGATATATGCCAAAGATATGACAGCAAAGAAACTTACATCTTCGACAGTGAAGACCCACTCCTTATCTTCGTACTCATGCTGGCGCGAGTCCCTGAACAATGTGACAGTGATGTCTATGTTCTCCGGGACTGTCCACGTCACCAACCCCATGTAGGGGTTCTGCAGAGTTGGCTCCCATGTGTAAGGCTATTGAGATGAAAAGCAATTCATTCAATGACTACAATGTCAGATCTTCACATGTGTATTCAAATCTGCATATCAAAGCCCTCCTTTGGGCATAAAAGATGTAATCCACATTTCCCTCTAATGCTTTTATCAAATTGTAAGGAAACTCCATTTTACATCATTTTGTTTTCTTATATTCCAGCCAAGAGACCAATATTAATGTGCCAAACAGTCATGTGATATAAGCATCAATGTTTTCCAGCAAGTCAGTTGGTTGTTTTCCTTCTCCAGAAAAAAGTATAGACTTCGGTCATTTTGCTACCTCCGTACTTTCTTGTCATATCTCCATTTTTAATAGTGAAAACAGTTCATAACAAAGAGTGAGCTTCAGAAGAAGTCACATTTTCACTGTTTAAAAAAATGGAGAAACGACAAGAAAGCACTGAGATCGCGATTTGTGTCCAAGGCCATCGATATACAGTAGGACCTGCTCTATCAGCCACTCGTCTTCTAAGACATTCACATCTATACAAAGAACCACATTCCACTCCCCCCCCCCCCCCCCCTGTATTTTTTTTTTCTATATTACAATGATACTATCTAAGACATCCATCCGTCCAAAACAACCACTTTTCTCCTCGGCAATCGGTAGCTATCTCCGACAATTTCAACTGTACGGCCAGAACTACCCAGGACAACAAGAGCAAGTCTGAGGGAAGAAAAGTTACCTCCTCTTAATTTCTGTTATTGATTATGAGTGAAAGATCCATCTTCGTGATTTGAAAATTTATGTTCCACGCCTATCCAAACTGACAGTCTCGCTAGGACAACATATTAATTGTGTTAGACACAGTCGGGTAAAAGTAAAGCTCATAATATATTCATCATTATACGTTCAGCCTTACCTGAGTTGATCTCCTTCTGTTCCTCCTTGTCCATACTACACAAAGTTTTGAAGGTTGCCTGACAATAAGAAACAAAATTAGGATCTTCAAACCATTTCTACACAAAACTTTCTAGAGGATATTTTTCAGCAGTTGCCACAATAAGCACCTAGATTCACAAGAGAACCACTTTTTCCATCAATTATATACAAACGCAAAGATTTGAAAAAGTTTTCCCAGTTAGACATTAACAGTACATGATATAAACCACCAGTTAGTTATTAATAATAAAAAATAGCTTTCGTTTAGCACATTCCCTGCTCAACAATGTAGCAATGACCACGAAAATCCTTTTTTTGCCAGAAAGTGTTTTTGCAAATAGGTGCATTTTGTAGCTTTATCTTCACAGAGCATGGAACTTTTTGAATTTTTGAAATCCATCAATAAACAAAAAAGTTACAGATTTTTTAATCAATTAATTTCTGGTACACTTTTATTATAATGAAAAAAGCCCAAAATATGGGACGTTCTTTGGTGAGTTTTGAGACAATATTCGTCATAACTCGCTCATTTCTCGGAGTATTTAAAAGAAACTTGGCAACCCAGTACATTTTCTAGTGTAGAATCTAGTCCTGCTTTCAGATTTTTCATAGCTATCCTATTTTGTGAGTTATGAAGACGTTTATAGGTAAAAATGTGGCGGTTTTCGGTGCGTTTTGAGACAATATTTGTCATACCTCGCCTATTTCTTGGAATATGTAAATAAAACTTGGCAGTATAGTACATTTTTTAATGCAGAATCTAGTCATGCTGTCAGATTTTTAAATATCTGTCATACTTTTTGAGTTGTAAAGACATTAACAGGTAAAAAAGTGGCGTTCTTTACAGATTTACAAAGATTATCAGTCATATGTTCTCCCAAAGTCATGATATTTGAATGAAACTTGGCAACATAAAAGGTTCCTCCTTGCCAAGCAATGTTCTGGATCAATTTGTCACAAAAATGTAAGTAGAGAGCTACTAATAAATCCAGTTCTGTACTAGTAAAAGCATGCATACTTTGTTATAGAAAATAAGATCATCTCTGTGTATATCCATTGTTGGACAGTGTCCTATTGTGTGTTAGATTAAGATGCGTTCAGATAATATAATTTACAAGTCATGGGAATATTTCGCATGTGTAGGCTACAACTCATACAATAAATGTAACATATTTACTCTCTCTCTCCTTCTCTCTCTCTCTCTCACGCACGCACACACACACACACACACATGCACGCGCGCACTCACGCAGGCACGCGTGAACGATAACAATGTATAAACGGGACTATCTTCCCAGACTGGACTAAATAAGTACCATGCTCTTTAATAACAATCTTAATGCCTCACTTTTCCAAACAGAGCACACAGGACGAGTCCAAGTGTGTGCTTTCCAAAGAGGGGGGAATAGGCTTTCATAACGCAAACACAATGCCATACCACTTCTCAAGATGCTTGCTTTTCTGTTTCTATTCTTCTGTCATGCAATCAAGCAAATAAAAATGACTACATCTATTGTATTGTGACTAAAATGCAACAAAAACGCAAGTTATCAAGGCCCCCGTTTAGTTTTCAAGTATCCTTCCCCCCCTTTCCGGTTCACAGCGGGGCCTCGTTTGTAGCGCCCGAGGCGACCGATGGCTGATGACGTCACTCAGTGGAAATTTCCAGTCCGCAGGTCGTCGCGCAAATAGCAATGTCGCTTTTTCCCTTAGTTACTCCCATTTTTTTTAACATTACGTGAAAACCGCTAAACACAGAAGCTTGAAATTTTAAGGGAATAAAGAAAAATGGTGTACAACGTATCAGTCAGTTTGACAAATCACAGCTCCAATCTTCAAAGCGCACTACATCAACCACTTTCGCAAACGTTTTCGACTGCTTCTAGGATGGGTACAATGTTGTCAAACTGCATACTACGAGATTGACCTCTTTTCTGATTGGCTGCCAAGTTTCATTCATATCCATTCACGAGAAGCGGCGTAAGAGCGAGTTGAAGACAACAACCTTTGCGTTAGTGCGTCCCACGAAACACCCCCGCTGCGGGGGCCAAAAATCGGCAGAACAAAACGCGCTCGGTGGGCATTGCTAAACAATGTAACAAGCTCTATCATGAATGACCTTTATAATCTTCGTAAAAATTATTACCGTAGAAGACCCTGCAACACTCAGAAATGTTCTCTGCTTAGCTAAAACCATGTTTTCTATCCCCACGTAGCCCACATTCCCAATATGTAGTTCCTTACCACTTCTTGGAACACTCTACAGCAAGTTCTTGGTACGACGCAGTAAACTGAAACTTGGAAGCAGACTTGCCAACCCTCTGGAGTCTCTTCCACACAGACATGGTTTCAGCTCTCACATAGGCGCATCATGCGGACTAGAATCTGAAACACATAATTTTAAGATTTTTCATTTGAGGATTGAAACTAACAAACAGTTGATATCAGCATCTATGTTGTAGAGATTACAATATAAGGCTTCACTGTCGCATTAAGGACACCAGAGTTCAATTCTAGAGAGGGGTCAATTTTTATCAAGTATCTTGGTCTTTCTGCTGGGACACTGAATCGCTCTCAGCCCAAGCTGACCCTAATAGGAAGAGTAAAAACGCACACACCTCCTAAATGATCGAATTTGTGTCCACTTTTCACAGACAGACCCAGAGATTAACCTTATAAAAAGCAACTGAAGAGTCAAAGGCTTGGGGTTATTATTGTGACCCTCATTCTCATCATTGGTGTAGCTAATGATGTCATTCATTGGAAAAACTGAAACTGTGTCTCAATAATAAAGGCCACCTCTATTCTCACCCGGAGTGAGAATAGTGCAGGTGAGTCTTGTGGCTATTCTCACCCGGTGCGCGTTCACCAAATTTTGCGTTCACCCTAAACCACAGAATGCTACACTGTGATCACAGAAAAATTGTAGAATTCTGTGCCGTGAACAGACGTTCCATTACAACTGTAGCCTACTAAATGCGTACAATTTTGTCTGTGGGCAGTGGAGAGAGAGAGAGAAAGAGAGAGAGGAGTAGCGCGAGAATTTCCGGGCAAAACAAAATGTCGACCCGCGTAGGTCGGCTTGGTTCGGCTCGATTCGAAAAGTTAAATAGCCGTAGCATCTTTGTAGACAACCAAATTGATTTACTTTTGTGTTTTAACATCATTTTTTAACTTTGTTTTGGTCAATTTGATCGTCCACACCGATAGACAGTATTCAGAAAGAGACAGAGAGAGAGAGAAGAGGGGAGGAGTTGATCTTGCGAGAACTTCCGGGCGGGTGAGAATAGCCACTTTCATAATAAAGGTGCTAAAGGTCACCAATCATCTTGCAAAAGTGCAGAAATATATGACCTACTAGAGACCAGAGACCATGCATAATGCATGGCTACTTCTAATTCAAATTATTATGTAGTTACACAATTACAATATTAATTTTAAAAGATAATTTAATTAGGCTCTAGAGAAAAATCTAGATCTTATTGTATTTTATTTTTAGAGTGCAGCAGTGCTTAAAAACAGAAAGTTGCTACACTAACTCAGCAATAGGTCTAAAATAATACAATCAATGCATTTCAGTTTCGTACGAATGAATACATAGCAATACAGTACAAAATAAACTGCAACTTTGTTTTCTCTCATTTTCTCATTCACTTGACTCATTCTGTCTGTCTGAAGTAAAATTACAAAACAAACTTTCAATTTCAGTTTGAGTTTCAGTAACAACCTACCACTGCCCTGGTTAGCTTCAACTTTCTTTTATGAATCTTATTAATTGTCAGATGTCAAAATTTTCACAATTGCCAAGCCATAAGACCCAGAGGATGAGCATCCGCCGCATCCATGTCATTCAATATCATTATTCATGACGAACACAGCGATCGGTTCCAGTCCAGCAGTACAACCGCATCAGTCAGGCTCGATCAAGAGAATAGACAAGCCCCTTACATACGGAAACTGACAGCATTCTTTCTTTAGTCAGTTAAGTCTAAACTGTTACAATGCTAAGACCCAAAAAGTACAGCACTGAAGCAATAACAACTTTAAAGAGCTGCATTTCTTGTCAGACAGTTCTACTTTACGTACTTTCTGGTACATCAACAACACTGGGCATCCGCCATGTTGATCGACATATCACGTGATATCCGCTAGCCGTCGGAAAGTCTGAGAGTGCATTTTATTATTATTATTATTATTATTATTATTATTATTATTATTATTATTATTATTATTATTATTATTATTATTATTATTATTACTTCTATTATTAGTACTACTACTATCAATGTTATTGTTATTATTATTATTATTATTATTATTATTATTATTATTATTATTATTATTATTATTATTATTATTATTATTATTATTATTATTATTATTGTCATTTTGTCATTATCGTTTTTTATCACAATTGTAACAATTATTTTCATTCCTACTATAACTACATCGACCAGTATTTAAATCATCATATTCAGGCTATTAATTATTGTTATTGTAGATTGTTATTATTGAATTATTAGCATTATTTCTTATTATCTACTATATGTGTTGCTCTTGAGCTTAATTAATAAAAGCAATAGCGACAGTTTCTGGGGTCTTTAAAAAAAAAACTAATTATTTTTTGCTCTTATACTGAAAAATTAGAATGCTAAATAAAGAGGTAGGGGCAGACTCACAATTAATTTAACTTGCTTTGAGAAATCGAAAGCAGAGGGATTGAAAGACCCGGATAATACATTTCATGCAATTTTTGGTAGCGCCCAAAAAGAGAAATGAGTGACAGACCCTGATAATGCGATGCCGCGCCTGTTTAAGATTTGGCATCCATGATGAGGGTGTGTGTGTGTGTTTGTGTGTGTGTGTGTGTGTGTGTGTGTGTGTGTGTGTGTGTGTGTGTGTGTGTGTGTGTGTGTGTGTGTTGTACGTGTGTGAGAGAGTCGTGTGGAAGGATGTGTGTGAGAGAGAGTGTGTAAGATGGTATGTGTGTGTGTGTGTGTGTGTGTGAGAGAGAGAGAGAGACAGAGAGAGAGAGAGAGAGAGAGAGAGAGAGGGGGGGGGGGGCAGGGGGTCGGATGTTTGGCCGCTCTGTCTGTCTCTCCCCCTCTTTCTCTGTCTATCTGTCTGTTTGTCTGTCTGTCTGTCTGTCTGTCTGTCTGTCTGTCTGTCTGTCTGTCTGTCTGTCTGTCTGTCCCCCCTCCCTCTGTCTGTCTGTCTGTCTGTCTCTCTCTCTCTCTCTCTCTCTCTCTCTCTCTCTCTCTCTCTCTCTCTCTCTCTCTCTCTCTCTCTCTCTCTCTGTGTGTGTGTGTGTGTGTCTGAAAACGAGTGAGTCGGAAAGAAGGACAAAGAGACAGTGAATTTTAAAAATATAAATTTAATAAGTGGGAAAACATTTTTATTTGGTTTGAAAAATCTCTTCACTGTTAACTGTATGTTCAGTTGGAAGAACTGGTATATATATGTTGTTAGTGTTAATCATAATTAATTATCACCGTTCGAAAGTTGAATGTTTTAGATAGGTAAATAGCTTTGAGCTACTAGAGAATCTTTGATTGTAACAATGTGAAAGTAGATCATTGAGTTAATAGGTAGGATAATATGATCAGTGGACAGAGCAAAACTAATTTGTTGATTAATCATGAGAGAAGGCAAATGGACAACTTAGGGTGAATGAGCAGCCGCCCACTCTTCAGCATGGCCGCACGGAGCCACCGACATTTGTCTGCTGTAGTTAATTCCCTTGGTTTGCTTTCTTCAAACTTGTTCCGTTCCGAGAGAAAGCCTTTTTCAAATAAATATAGCGGGCGTACACGAAAAGAAAACTTCAATGCTTTTTAGTGTTTACGACTATTGTGCCTTTTGTCTCTGATTCTCCTTTTTATAAATAAATCCCTTCTCTCTGTATCTTTCTACTTGTCTTTATCTCCCCATTCCCGTTCCACATGATGCACTATGCACTTCAGAAAGCTTTTCAAGTAAGCTTCTATGCAAAGCGGCAAGACGCTTTGTCTAGGAACTTGCGTGCGCAAAATGGCGGACTTAGCAAGGAACAACGACGCTGGGAAAGAAAACCAAGAGAAGTCTTTTCCTTTACCCGAGATAGGGGACCATTACTTAGTGAAGAGGTCCGACAATGCACTACATGCAGCGGAAATCATTCAAATACGACAAAATGAAAGCGGTGGTCAAGAGTTATATGTTCATTATGAAGGATTTGACAGGCGACTCGATGAATGGGTTGAACTGGAAAGGTAATGCCATCTCGTCATTCATAATTCATAATCACTGAAATGTCAATTAAAAAAGGAATTTTCAGTGTCACCCACTTTTCTTTGCTGACTGAGAAAGGGCTGCCTATTATAAGCATCATGCTTTTTAAATGGGAAAAATCGGTCTGTAAATGTTAAAGTTATGGGCCATAGTCGAAGCAAAACATGGAGTGAGGAGTTCTGCAGCAGCAGAGGCCAGAGGCACCAACCGTGACATGGTCCAATGAGCAGACTATGAGTTAGGTCAGGGTAGGGGCCCCGCTAAAAATACCCGTTCTTTTGTGTTTTGTTGGTCGACTGGCCCTCTGTGGAACTCCTTCCAAAACATGGGTGAGCCAAGAGCTCTAGAAGCATGGGAATGCCAGCCTGCCTGAAATTGAAAATTGAAAAATTCAGGAAAATATTCTCAAAAAGTGGAGACAATCTTCCAGATCTGCATGTTTTATATAATTTGCCATTTTCAGCTAGATCTAGATCTAGATGTCTAGTTTTGTTTTAGTTTTGAAGTACGGCTGTGGTCAGACTAGTCGCCTATCAGCCATTCGTTGCTTTAGGCCTATTGCTTGTTCCTTCCTGCGCGTTGTTTTCACACTCTGTTATCTGTAGGTTGGTGCTCATTGATCTGGCTGTTTGAAACTAGTCTAGGTTCATGGAGAATTAATGTGCCTTCCAGACCATGTCAATCCTATTCTTGAAAGCATTCAAGGATGGTGCAGACACCACATTTTCCGGTAGGGAATTCCAAGCATTAACTGTGCGTGCGCTGAAGTTTTGGCTGACTGCTGTTGTCACATTGTTGTTTTTTTTTCAATTTTAGGCTTGTCCCCTAGTGTTAGAGTGTAGATCCCGCAGTAAAATGTCTCCTGTTACGTTGTAAGTTAGCAATGCCAATCGCCTGCTGCGCCTTGTGCCGGAAATCGGCCTCCGTGCGAGGGGTATTTTTTGGGCCGCTCGGAATCAGAAGTCACTCTCTTCTAAGTTTAGTTACGGGAAAACTCCTGGACGAAAATAAATGAAACTCGGCAACCAACCAGAGGAAAGGTTAAACTAATGACCTGCCAGCGTACAATCCCGAACGATTACTAGAACCGGAGATATTGCCGTGTTTGTGCGAATTTCCGCTGCGGGTTGATCGCCGACCACACAAGCGCCCCACATGTCTTCTTTTTTGCTGTAAAATTTCAGATCTCTGCGTTCAGTAGATTTTCCGTACCAACTTAAAATTACCACCCATCCATTGATTGATAAAACCCTAGATCTAGAAACTTCATAGCGCATTCCAAACGTGAGGTGCCGGCACGCAAGAGGCGCGTGATCGCTAGGCGGCATGTGATTGGCTGCCTATAACCAAATGGGTCACCGATGACTACATCGCGGGTTTTCCCGATAGCGCTTTACTGAGTTTTAGAAGGGGTGATCGCGTAAAAAAAAGATGTCACGCAATTCAACAAATTTCACGCAAATATCAGTCTTTAAGATCCAAAGTAATGAAGACATCGAAAAGTGATAGCAGAACTAGATTCGGCACTAAAAATCACATGAAGATGCCAAGTTTCATTCATATAATGCTCCAATTCATTACTGACTTATGAACAGTTTTTCCTCAAAATACATCAAAACATGTCCCACATTTTGGCAATTTAAGCAGTCAGTTAAAATTAAATCTCAGTCATACTAAGTTCTGAATTCTCCGCAACATCTGAATTCATGTGAATAGCTCGAACAATGCCACATTCCCCAACTGAACCACATATTTTCTATTAAAATTAACCATATATTTTCTATTTTGTGTTTGCAGTGCATGTTCTTGAACACCAATACAGTACAGATGTATCGAAGAGCTTTTAGCTGATAAACTTAAAGCCTGATCAAATTTTTCTTCGCAAGAATCAGCATTCAAATTGCCTTGTGTGGCTTGCACACATTATTCACTTGATGACAAACACACCAATCATCACTAACGCCTTTTATGCAGTTGCGAGCGCCTTAAAACCCCATACTAAACTAAAAAATCATCACTAGTAGTGCATGTGTAAGTCATAAGAACTTCCCATGAATCTAGTATGAGGGTGGGTGGTGGTAGGGTGTGACTGGATACAGTATATATATGGCCTGTATTCCTGTATTGGGCCGTATGGTGTGTTTTCATTATTATGTTTGTGTGCATGTGCATGTATGGCTGTTTGAACATGATAAAGGTATGGGAGGATCTGGAAGTGATTGTCAACACAAGATCAAGAGGAATGGGTGGTGTGTACTGACTAGTGCTGCAGGGATCATGTGAAACTGTCTGGAAACCTTGCCTTCTCTGACCTCTTCAGGCAAGACAGAAAAATAATCTAGGTCAGGAATGTTTGATGGATGGTATCAAATTTTTATCTTTTTCCATTGAATAAAATCTGTTTGTTCTCTTCTTTGTGGCAGGTTTGATTTGTCATCGAAACTTGAAGACCCACAGAGTAAAACTGGTGAGCTGACGATATTACTGACAGATTTCACGGATGGAACGGACCGTAAGATCACCAGGAATCAGAAGCGCAAACATGACGAAATCAATCATGTGCAGAAGACGTTTGCTGAAATGGATCCCACAACGGCAGCCCTGGAGAAAGAGCATGAGGCGATCACTAAGGTATGTGTCGTGACATCAGTTTGAACTTGTTCCTGCCCCGCAATATAAATTAGAGTGTTCTACTTTTTTTTTCTTTTTTTTTCTTTTTTTTTTTTGATGTCGTGCTGATGTCTCTATCACTGTAGATTATTTTTGTAAGTTCTGAAAGAGATAGTTTTTACAGTATAACCTGAATTTGTCTGGACCGGCCTCAGTAGTTTGAGGGAGCCGTAGTTCGAGGGATATCTTTCCAAGATGAAGGTAAAAAAAGGGACCACAGCTACAGTTCGACGGATTCGTGATTTCGAGTCTTCTGTGTTCGACCTATCCGTGTTTATTGTATATTGTTTCCAGGTCCCAGCAAATAAGAAAAGCAGAAAAGTTTGTCTCTTTTTGATATCTGAAGGATTTTTTATTTTTTGGTGAATAATAATAATTTGAATGACATATTTGTGCTCAAGCTGGATTTAAAAGTACAGGCTCTAGGCACTTTAATTTAAAGAAAAAAAAGGCATTAACACTCTTAACAGTAGATTGTGTTCTAAATTTAACTCTAAATAATACCTGTTTACTCTAAAAATTGTTGTTGTTGCCTACATGAAGGTCTGTTTTCACCAAGTGTTGAAAAGTATACATGATTTTTTTTTTTTTTTTTGATTTTTTTTTTTTTTTTCAGATCAAATATATCGACAAAATCCAGTTTGGAAAGTATGAGATAGACGCCTGGTACTTCTCACCCTACCCAGAGGAGTACGGCAAGTTGAGCAAGCTGTGGCTCTGTGAATTCTGCCTCAAGTACATGAAGCTGGAGAAATCTTTCCGATACCATCAGTCACAGTGCACATGGCGACATCCCCCGGGAAAGGAAATCTATCGCAAGGTTTGTACTGAAGCTGACATGTCTGAGGTCTCTTTCATCTGTCTTTACAAGTTTCATTTTGTACACACTGCCCCTCCATTAGTGAAACAAGACCAAGTGAAATTTTCCCGTCTTTTCCAGACACAGCCTCCATCTATGCAATGTTCCTTTCCACACAGACTGTAACCTTTACATGATACTTAAAATATGTCTATCTTGGTGTTTGAAGTAGGCCTGTTTGTTGTTGGAGCATGCTACTGGTGAGTTTCTCTTATTAAAATTTCCTTCTTTCTGTTGTTTGTCCGTTTACCTTCCTTTCTCCCAGCTCTAGATGTCTGTTGTTGTGTCTGTGTGTGTTTGTCATTACACTCAAACTCAGGGTGTTTTACAAAAACTAGATAAAGATATCAAATGTTGTTCACTGTCAGGCCTTATGATACAGCTTGGCCACCACATGCAGGAGACCCAAGTTTGATTTTTGTGAGGGAATAATTTTTGTTGAGTATCTTTATTGAGTCTCTCTGCTACAATATTGACTTCCTCCCAGGCCAAGGTGGCCTTGAGAGGCAGGGTCGAAGCCCGCCTTCTAATTTATCTAAATTGTGTGAATGGGGGTGTAAAAAACACTAAAGAAAGAAAAATACTTTTTTTACAACTGCTATGGCAAAACTCCACCTCATTCACCTGCTTGTAGGGATGGGTGAAAGGTGCCACTGGAAGGTTTTACTTCTTTTCTTTCCCTCTGTTGTTTCTCTCTATTTGTTTTGCTTCTTCGCTGCACTTTATGACCATTATTGAGTCAGTGTGCTTTTCATTGCGGGTGGTTGGTGGGTGCTCTGGTGTAGTTTGCTCCTTCTTTCCTATCAAACATCTGTTGTCCTTATCTCTCCTCTTTTTTTTTTTTTTTTTTGTTACCCTTTTGTAACATCTATTCTTTGGCACTATAAGACGTAATTGTGTTGCAAGTGCCATGAAATGCTTACAACAAAAATTACTTCTCATTATACTCAAACTGACCTGCTTGGTGTGTGACATTCTCCGCAGGGTACGATCTCGGTGTTTGAGGTGGACGGCAAAGACTGGAAGATCTACTGCCAGAACCTGTGTCTGCTGGCCAAGCTGTTCCTGGACCACAAGACCTTGTACTTTGACGTGGAGCCCTTCATGTTCTACATCCTGGTGGAGGTCGACCGCTACGGCTGTCACCTCGTGGGATATTTCTCCAAAGAGAAAGAATCTCCCGACGGAAATAACTTGGCCTGTATTCTGACCCTCCCCCCGCACCAGCGTAAAGGCTACGGGAAGTTTCTCATCGCTCTCAGCTATGAGCTCTCCATCATCGAGGGTGTGGTGGGGTCTCCGGAAAAACCGTTGTCGGACTTGGGCAAGCTCAGCTACCGAAGTTACTGGACGTCGGTCCTGCTCGACTGCATCCACCGCCTGGGGGTCAAGGTCAGCATGAGGGAACTGGAGAAAATGACCTCGATATCGTACACAGACGTGGTGAGCACGCTGCAGTCGCTGAACCTGATCAAGTACTGGAAGGGCAGCCACATCCTGTGCGTGACCCCGCGCTCCATCGAGGAGCTGCACCAGAAGGTTCACAAACGACCCACGCTCACCGTGGAGCCCAACTGTCTGAGGTGGGAGAAACCCACGCAGAGACCGCCGGTCAAACTGGCCAAGCGATGACCGGGGAGAGAAATGGAACATTGTTCCAGCTTAAGTGTTTGGGGATAAGACAAACCCACACAAGGACTGGCTGTCAGAATTGTCAAATGATGATAAGCGACACTCTATGTGCCAGCCAGACTATCTGAGGTGGGAGAATTCTTCGCAGTGACAACTGGTCAAACTGGGTGAGAGATGACCAGTGGCAACAACAGGAACATTCTGAGTGTGACTGACCTGTCATTGGTGGATAAAGGCTGATTTAGTGAACTGAAACAAGAGCTCGTTCTTCACCCTACCGTGGGGCGCAAACAGCACTTTACTCTGACAGAGGTCTACTTGTGTTGGTTCAAAGACTTATGGTTGCTCACGATTGATATTTGTCGTGTACAAATTTCATGTAAAGTTATTTTATGTGTTTTTTTAAATTTCAGATGATCTTTTGTCATGCCTTGTTAAAAATGTATATAAATATAAATATGTACTTTGCTCATCTTTTACTCTTCAGTTACCTTTTTACTCTTTTTGTTATTTCATCATTTGCCTCTGTTAACATACGAGAATTCATTTATAAGGACTAAGGCCGCAACCAGACTGCGGATGGCGCTGGTCTGGGGCTGGCCCGGGGCTGGTGGCTGGGCAATAAATCACGTGTAATTATACAGTGCCAGCCAGACCGAAGATGGTGGAGGTCCAGCCTCGCGCCTCACCTGTCCGTGGCGCCAGGCCTGATAGTGCATGCTCTATTTTTTCGTAGCCCTAGGCTTGTAGTAGCAGTTCCGATTCAGCATTCGTTTTGGCATTTTGACAACATTTACGGACAGGTTTAACAAAATTGTTAAATATATTGAAATAATGCATTGGTTGCAACCTTATTCGATACAAATTTAGTGGATTTTAGGTAAAATACGTCTTTATTTCACGATTTTACGGATTTTATACGATGACCTACTTTCATCTCCGGCTAGGCGAAGACTTCGTAACGTTTTCGTGACTTCAAACGTTGTTTGCCGATATGTGAGTGAATATTTTCTGTATGGTTTTGATAACCGATGGATTAGTTAATGTAGGCAGGGGATTGTAGGTCTAGCTAGGTGTAGTTCTAGATATATATAGAAATAGTTGTTGGGCCCTGAACGGTTGAAGCCAAGTTGATAGACGTGTAATATTGTAGCCTAGTACTAGGCCTAGGCCTACATGTAGTAGTAGTGGGTATATTTCATGTGTAATTAAAAAACTTCTCCTCGTCATCACACAGTTGGGGATACGGTCTACATAAAATTCCTCTTTAGTTCCTTTTGGCGTTGAAAGGGGGGTGAATCCATGATCTTTTCTTTTGCGATAGCTTCTTCAAAAGAAGAAAAACATTTATGGTTTCTTCATCGTCAGAATGACTTTTAGAGAAGACGAAGATAACGCAGTTTAAATGAAAAACACAAGATGCAGGAACTGAAACTGAAACGACACGTGTGTAGGCCTAAACTATTTCTCAGGAAAAAGAATGTTAACACAGGAGACACGAATCAACGACCTACGTCCTCCTAGTTCTAGCCCCAGCCCCAGCCCCAGCCCAGCCCCAGCTGAACACACCAGCACTGGCACCATGACTGGTGCACCACCAGCCCCCTGACCTAGGCCAGCCCCAGGCCAACGCCATCCGCAGTCTGGCTGCGGCCTTAAGGAATAGCAAGAACTTAGGATTGACTAGACAGTTCTTGATTCCTGTTTTGTTTTGTGTTTATCTATTTATTCATCTTTTCCTATAAACAGAATACAGGGATTACAAGACTTGCTATATATTTGAAATTTCAGTACCGTAGCGAAAGAATTTTAATTCATTGGAACTTAAAGAACAAGAAGTATGCCCATGGGGTGATGTAACCATCAATGCATGCGACTCGGGTCATTTGGTCGCTGGGCTGATCACTTGCTGGACTTTTAGTGTGTTATACATGCTGTCCCCTCTCTTCTTTCCTGTAGTCACGGTAGCAGTAGGAGTATAATGGATGATCATGTTGATAATGACCTTCTGTGTCTTTTTTTTGTTGCACAGCAGAAATATGGGTCTAACTTTTTATTCATCTTTTGATTAAATTGAGGGAACTACCGATGTTGTTAGTTGTCTGAAAAGATGGAACAGATTTTTGTAGTGAAAGCAATATTGTTGTGAAATTCATCAAAAGAAGAGAATTAAATGTTGAAATTTGACATGCTTTCCGTATCAATCTATTCAGTTTTGCATTATTTTAGTATCTTGTGTTTCCAGCTCACGCTGTCATACAGAAAGTATTCATATTCTCTGCTTTCTCTCTCTCTCTCTCTCTCTCTCTCTCTTTCTCTCTCTCTCTCTCTCTCTGTCTCTCTCTCTCTCCGACTGTGTGTGTGTGTGAGTATGGTTTGATAACTTTTCAGACATGATGGAATGTCATTGAATGCCTCAGTTATGCTGGCCTTGGCATTTCGGCCAAAACAGATAGTCACTTCTGGGTCTGAGCTGAGGGTTTACATCTACTAAAAGAATTTACAGAGGATAGGCAATTCATACTTCTTTCTTTGAGTCTTGTGTAAGTGGAGTTTTTTTTGTACTTAAAGTTTTGATACCATCAAATGTACATTTTTTAAAATTGTTGTTTTTTTTTTGGTGCGATATTCTTTCTTGGTTTTTCTTCTTATCAGTGCACAATTTTTGGACCATGTCAACTTTTTTGAAGAACATGAAGTGGCAAATGAATTGAAAATCAAAATGTATTGTTGTTTGTGTTAAAGATCTCAATGTTTCGTTTGTGTTGTTTAATTTTTTAACCCATTCTTGTGAGGTGAAGGTTGGTGCTGTGTACATTAAGAAATAAAATTTGTGAAAGTAGATGCTAGTTCTCTTAAACTGTTCCTGCAAACAAATTATTTTTTTATGGTTCATGGTAAATAGGCTGCTCAAGTCCTGAGGATTTCGGGGGAGGTGGGGAGAGAAATAAGTTTATCTTTGACTTCGAGCAGAAAGTGGTAAAACACATTGACTGGATAATAGCCATTTTTATGCTTGGAAAAGAAGTTCCAGACAGAAATTACAAGCACAGGAGGAGAGGAACAAGAACTACAAAACAAATCCTCAAATATTTCTAGTGGTACAAATTTGACCAAAATATGGCTGGACCTTCAGGTTCAAGAGGCCTCTGGAAAAGTGGTTATTTTGGGAATTAATGTTTTAGACACACTTAGGCTTTATGCTTTTCTCGTCTTCAGCCTTGGCCTTGATAAAACGTTGCACCATACAGCAACTTTTCTGTAGTGTTGTTGTAGGTATCAATAAGTCCAGTCCTTTCATTTTTAGATATTGATAGAGTGAATATTTTTCCTCGCAGTGGACAAGTGTTATGGTTAGAAATTGAAGGAATGAATTAACGTTTTTCGTTAGAGTGGATACGTTTTTTTTAAAGTGGATTATTTTTCATCCCTGATTGTAAGTGTAAGCATCGCTACATTATGTGTAGTCAATCAATCGATCATCAATCATGGACAAGTGTTAAAGTGTTAAAGTTAAAGTAAAGTGTTGTAAATGTAGTTAAATATATTTAAAAAATGACTAAACAGTTTTTAGTTTTAAGCGAGGGATTGAAAAGATGAACAAATTTTCATCAACGGGGACATTTGTTTCTGGTCAGAAGCTTTTGCAGCTTTTGTGAAACTGGAAACAAATCTGTGATTTTATAGATCTGCATCAACACTTCACAATGTTCTGGATGTACAAGGACAAGGACTTTGTGGTGTGTGGTTGGCAGGTGCTTTGGAGTGGGTTTCTCCTTCTTTCTTGTCACACATCTATCGTCCTTATCTCTCCTCCTTTTCTGTCTGTGTGTTGTTTTCTAGGGTTACTTCTAATCTTCGGTACTTATATGATCTAGTGTTTGCAAGTGCCGTGACATTCATACTAAAAATAAAGACAATAAAAAATTATGGACCTTTGGAAGCAAAGGCGGAAGTGCAAAAACAAAATGGTGTTTGTACTGCCCTATGACACAAGTTAGATCATTTAGCAGGTGTGCGTCTGACCCTGCCTATCTCTGTGTCAGGGCCGACCCGTGCTGAAAGATGTACGTGTGTGCAACATCCTGGCACAAAGACCTAGATACACGTACTTGATAAACATTTCTCCTCTCTCACTCTCAGGAATCGAACTCAGGTCTCCTGCATGAGAGAGTGAAGCCTCTGCTACACGGCAGACACGAGTCTAGAGCACACCCACGCGCCGCGTGCACACACGCACACACACAAACACGCATGACATGTACATAAAATAATTTAATGACAATGGTTTTCGCCAAAGAACCCGATGTTCAGGAGACATAAAAAGCGGGTTTCAAGGAACGCAATTCAGCACTTAACCTGGTGGCATCCCTTGTCCATTCTATTGATCATTATTATTATTATTATTATTATTAATATGATTATTATTAATATTATTATTATTATTATTATTATTACGCCCTAGGTGTTCTAAACTGTCCCCGTGGTATTATGCAAAACAAATTTTGAAATTATGCAAACAGCCCAAAAATGTGAAATTATACGAGTCTGTTAATTTTAACAAAGATTGATAACGGAAAATAATCAGAAATGGTGCAAAAAAATGATCAAATTTTGCAAAATTATGCGGGGTGCATAAAACCACGGGGACAGCCTAGGATTAGGAGAAGTGAATCTCTGGCGATTCTGACGCCCGAGGCACGATAGAGAGCTGAGACTGAGAAGTCTGCCTTTCTTTTTTTTCATCTCTCTCTCTCTCTCTCTTTCTCTCTTTCACACACACACACACACACACAC